AAATTCACCTTCATATATCACCCCTAGTCCATGGCCTAGGTGGGACAACGGGTAGGTTTCGATTGGGTATGAATGCCCTATTACGAGTACATGCCCTAGCATTTCTAACTTTGTTGCTACAAGCGGAGAATAAATAACTACAAGAGGCAAATGCAGCACTATGCTGTCGGATAAGGCTGCCTCTGTTAGTTGAACAAGCAGACTTGACGTAATTGCTAGATGTCATGAAATCATCGATATCGGTAGTTGAGAGGCTGGCCAGCCACCCTGATGAAATCAGGTGGCTGGGAAGCCTTCTAAACTAAAGATAAAAGATATGAACCCTTCTGAAGGATAGAAACAGAACAATAATTTTTATATTCAAGAAATAAGCTTAGTTAACAATGAGTCTCATAACGTGACATATGCATCTGCATGTGTATTTCAGTTAAAATTCCCAATGCCCTTCCAGAGAGTCAACATGAGCTGGCCAAACAAAAAGCTCGCCACTATAAGCATTCCTCAGGTCTGCAATGTTTCGAATCACTTCCCGAGCGCCATAGCCATCTTCGTGAAACGTGCCAGATTTCGTTACGGTGAGACCACCGCCAAAGGGTGCTTCGGGATAGTGTAGGAGATGGTAGCAGTGCAAACAATCACCTCCTAGCACAACCCATCGTCGATTACCGTCTTTATTCTTAGTGCGAACTAAGGCAGCCAAATTACCAGGAAAATGCCCTGGTGCATTTATGAGCCAAAAACTCCCGTCTCTAAAGAAGTCGTATCCATGTTGGAATGGCCCAATTGGCTTCCACACTTCGGGTTTAGCACTGGGCTCGGGCAACTCATCAATAGGCAGCTCGGCCTGCTGAGGGTCCCAAATTCGGCCGTCAAACGTGCTATCTAGATGGGCAGGCCATGACTTCTCAGCTACAGCCAAGCTACCTGGGCCGCAGATAAATTTGGCATTTGGGAAAATCGATCCCACGGGATATATATGATCCCAATGGGCATGGCTATAGTATCGCATTAGATACATGCAAAGATAATAAATCAAGAAATGCCATACCTAGCGACAATATAATCTATAGACTCTGGGTCAATGCCGACGGACCGAGCATTATCCCCAATATTGGTTTTAGCCGGCTGCGCCTTGAAAAGTCGAATTTGATTCTCCTGGATATATGGAGGGTATTGGGCAAGATTCTGTATAATGTCAGTACACTCTATATCAGATCTAGAACTACCAGGAATGTGTGGTTTACTAA